AAGTAGCTTTTGTGTAAGAATCTGGTACTTTGGAAATAAACTAGGAAATTTTTTTTAATGTTGAAATATAGTTTGAAGAAGAAAAAAAAAACCAAACACTTTGCATCACCTCTCATGATCTACTCTGAACACATGCCACTCTGAAAAGAGACCAGGAATGTAAACGCAGATCTCACAGAGCTTATTCTTTGTCATTCTTACAAAGAAAAAAATCATTAAACATGGAATATTCCTAAGAAATACCTCACTTAGAAGTTTCTACTCTTGTACACATATTCATTTTGAGACAGAGTAACTGGGAAGCCTGGCTCTCCAGTCTGATTTGCATAGCTCCAGGTTACATATGAATGAGACCTGTGGCAAAGTTATCATTAAAAAGAAACAAAGCAGAAAATAGAACAAAGGATGCATTCTGTGCAGAGTTGGAGGTTTAGAACAGTTTCCATGATCCTTGCCATGGTAAGAAATATGCCCACCCCGTCCCTTACTTGATAAAAAAAAAAAACAGGTAGACAAGTAACAAAAGGTTTCTTGGGAAGAAAAGGCTGGAGAACTGAGGGCTATCCACATGAAGAAAAAGGAATCACAGGTACGCAAGAAAATATGGATGGGTTGGAGTCATTTTTATTTCTTCAGTCGTATATTAAGAGTAGGAACAGGTCAAGGCAAAAGGAATGACATCTTAGTGAATCTCAATTTTCCTGGGGGCCTAAGGGGGCAACATAATTAGAGTCAGAACGTTCTGGCTAGCCCTTTATATCAAATTCTTGATTATCTACTCTTAAAATTATTTTTTTTATAAACTAGAGCAAAAATTCTTCTGAACTAATAATTATGACTAGTTCTTCAGTGGTTGAATATAAGGCTTTGAATCAAGGAAAAACAACTTTCAATTCTCTCCTATTTGCAGATTTATTGGAAATTAGTTTAATTTCTTGGCTTTATTTTCATGTCTGAAGGGGAAAATGATAATATGCACTTCACGAAACTATTGTAAAGATCAAGTTACATGTGTAAATTGTGAAAAGTGTGTGTCTTGAAAATTATTAACATGATTTTTATTTAGCAATAACTATTATATATTTCCATATTTGCTGTCATCCTCAATAAGCTTTGCCTAAATTCATATCATAACTTTCTGACTAATCCCTTTGTGCTCTCTCTTCTGGTTTTGGGTTACTGGGGTTTTTTTTTATTTTGTAAATAAGATACTTTTTTTTAAACATCCCACCACCAGGTTAAGTCCTTGTTTACAAATATACTAGTTGTCTGTTGCTAATTGGGCCCTTCTGAGCCACTGCCTCCCATCTCCCAAACCTTAGGCTTCTTTATTCATTAGGTGTGGTTTTTTTTTTTGGAATGTTTTGAATTTTTCATAAATTCTTACAAATAATGGACAAAAATACTCAGCTCATAGAAATAATACCTAACTCTTAGAAACACTATTCTTGAGCACTAAACACACTCTTCATCTTTTATGACTGACTCTGAGTTCATTCATATCAGGTAAATAAGAAACAGGTGTTACTACTTTATACCTCTCTCTGGGAGGTTCAAATGACTTGCCAAGTCGTTCAGTGACCTCAGATAAAGAATTTAATGCAACAGTTTTAAATCCTTGATCCAAAATCTAGCTAGGTTTCCATTTACTATGAGAGTCCATCTATAGAGGATATTCTCCAGTGTTAATTTGAATTGTGATATTGCATTTCTTCACACATGTAAAATGTTTTCAAGATTTGGATCAGCCCTCTGGCTACTCTTAGAATACGGGGAGTGGGTGGTGTAAATTCCCTCAACAGCTAAAGCAGTCCTGTCACCAAAACTGTCCTCTGTGAGATCACATGTCAGTGTCTGTCACGTCGTCCTTTAGGGCCTCGACTTCTCAGGATCTACTCTTCTTGAAGCATATGAACTTGATATATGATCCTAGAGGTAAAGAGCAAGGTATTTCAAGCTGACCATAATTTGATTGACTCTCACTGGTTGCTTTGTAGTCATTCCAATAAACTAGATGAGAAATTTCTGATGCTCCAAGCTATCCAGTCCTCAGCCTCTGTTTCGTGTTCAGAGTCTAACTAAACAACTCAAGAGTGCTTTTGTGTGACACTGTGGCCACAGGGATAAATAATTGCTTAGTAATTCTCTTTGAGGCAGAAAATTCTAAACATGGAGGAACCATTTCCCCTTAATGGGAGCCAGAAATCCTGTAAGTGCTTGAAATGGCATTCACAAGTTTGAATGGTAAACAGATAAAAACAGGAGCGCACCAGTTGCACAAGCGACTTGCTTGTCACAAACTTGTCATTGCAGTCATCTAACATTTCTTTCACAGAGCCCGCTGAAAAGTATGAAACAAACAGGTCCTGCTGACGTTTTGACTCTGCTGAGCCTTCCTCCGCTAAAGCATCTGCAACATCTTCCTGTTCGAGACCCTTTATCTGCTGAAGTTAGCTGATAACTGTACATGTCACAGAAATACTTGACTATTGCATTAACAAGTTGGTGACAAGCAAGTTATTCCTGCAGCTAAAATACTGCTGCTTTTAGCAGGCTGCCATTTTGACCTTCATAGTACACACGAGAACCCATACAGAGCAAATAACTAGAGAGATACCAGTATTGTTGCCCCACGCCTGCATACATAAACAAGGACCACCAAGGGTTTATTTGAGGTGGATTGTTATTGGATATGCCAAGTGGTTCCTTCAGGGTTGTGTTTCAAACACTTTGGACTGCCCCAAGGGTTCCTCTTTCTAGGAAGAAATGAGTTACACAGAGATTTGTTTCCTCCTGCATTCCTTTTACCACTTAAACATGTGCACACACAGAAACCTTTTATATTTAATACAAGGTTAATAGCCAGAAAAGTTGACGGAAATGCATTCCAGCGTCACATAGAGTGTTGGTACTTCTCGGGGCTCATCCTACCAGTAGTCTCTCAATATCCTGCGTATCATCTGCTGCTCTCTTGGCCCCCTCAGAACCTCTTTCCCATTCCACTAAAATGAATTATGGCGAATAACCTCCTCACAAAACCTTCAAGGGCCATCTAGAAGATACCCCAGGTTAGTCTCCAACTCCTCGGCTGCCAGCAGGGAGTGCTCAGACACTGTGCAACTTGGAACTTTTTGTTTCAAACTTTTTATTAAAAAAAATCTTTCTGTAAGGTGTCCTCCTGCTCTGGGGGTCCGTTCCTGTTTCCTGAGCACAGCAGTTCCATGGGTACCAGCTGTCTCAGCTGAGACTAGCTGTGACTTGTAACTGGAGACTGGGCACTAGTACTGGAGAATTCTGCCTCTGCTTCTGCCTCAGGTGTGGACAACAATGGAACATTTACCCTCTAACTTTGGCCTTTTCACCAAACTGAGTCTTCCTTTTCACCAAGGTGATGGGGTAGGATTGGGGAGGCTGTATTCTTTTTAGATCCCTCATTAAGAAGGCATTCTTGGCATCTTATTTGATTTAAATATTGATGCAAAAAAACTTGCATTCTTCTTTCACTTATTTCTGGCCGGTGCCCCAATGCTTTCATTTTTAAGTCTTTTTGGAAAATGATTATGATTGTTCAACCTTGAGAACCCAAATTTGTTGCCAAGGAAGTGATGAGTTTAACTTTCTTTTGAATTTGGCACTTTGAACACAGTATTATCTCCCAGATAAAACGTTTTACTCCCAAATATCTCCTGTTGTAATCTATACCTTAGCTTTGTTACCTCAGAAAACAGGTGGGAAGGGTGTGAAAAAGGGTCCAGTGCTTTACATAGTTAACGAAACGATATTGCTGAAAAAGGAAGTGAAGGTCCTTTAAGGATGCCTCTGTATTTTCTGTAGAAGAAAAACATGTAAATGAACAATTTGAATTTTAATTGGAGTTTTAGTGACTTTTTCTTTCGGTTTAAAGTTCCTAATAGGATTTCTGCAATGATTTTGTTTTCCTTCTTAATAGAACTTAAATGGCAAAGAAATGACATGCTATTTTTGATAGAGAAAAAAATCATTTTATGGGAATTCTCTTTTTAAATGCACATTTGGGAATAGATAATGAAACAAAAATATTTTCTTCCTATTTAGAGGGATGGTTGATTAGTGGATATGTATGTTTTAAATATATACTTTCTTATTTGATTATTATTTTCTCTTTATTTTAAGAAAGCAAGAAAAGAAAAAAAGAAAGACTTTTATATTGGAGTAATTTAAATAGATTCGTAGTTTTAGGGCTGAAAAGGAGCTGGATGATTGGGCTGTGACTTTTTTTCACACTCACCCTTTAGAGATGTGTTTACTGAGATGAGACCCAAAGATGTTTAATAACATGAACAAAGATACACAACAGACTTGGAAGAGCTAAGCCAAAATCTAGGTCTGGCTTTCACTTCAGGCAAGACTCAGAAATTTCATTATGTTCTTAAAACTTTCTTTTAAACAAAAACTGTCTTATTTGAATAATTTACATTGATGTGATTATATCTAATAGGGCATTTGCTTTTAGAATAACTAGGGATGGATAAATGAACGTAGGAATTTATTTGAACTTTGGAGACTTTTCTTCCTGAGCTATATTTTATCTCAGTCAAGGAACTATTACTATTTCAATTTTTTTCTTATATACCAAATAAATGATTTCTCTATTCCTAATTTGGCACTGAAAAAAAGTTCTTTTTAAGTGGACTTGTTCCTTTAACAAGTATTCACTTATGTAGGTCATACTGTAACATTTTGTGAGATATTTTTTATCTTCATATTTCTTCAAATTAGAAGAAATATGTTTCTTATTCTCAGTTTTAGCCATGTTTGAGTTGATCCTTGTATTTTTGTTGATTTCAACAATTCTGAGAACATTGTTTTTGTTCTCATTCTTTAAATTTAGCATAAAAGGAAATATAAAAATAATTTGCCTTTTTGAAGCAATGATATTATATGTATTCTCTGTTAATTTTTGAAATACATTTTGAGGGTGTTCTTTTTAATTCTCTTCTCTGTTTCTGTATTTTTCACAGTGGCTGGTGGCAAGAGTAGCAGTGCCTGGCACTTTTCCTTCACATTCTGAGAGAAAGAAAATAGGCTGAAATAGACCCTTGCTTTCCATATGGTCGACCTGAAATACAGCCTTGAAAAGGTATGATCTCTTTTCTCTTTTCTGCAACCAGAGGTGAAACTCAGGAACAAATAGCAATTCTGATGCCAAACCACCTGTTGATTTACATCAGCAAGGTTTTGACAGCACATACACCACTTCATTAGTTTGAAAACCTAAGTGATGGATCTTCGTGTATTGGCAGGATGGTGTGAACAATATATGCTCTTGCTGACTTACTTTAGAAACTCTCGATTCTAGGTGTAACCAATAAACAAATTAAAAGTTTACTTTTGTGGTCAGCAAAAGGATCAACTTTGTACAAATGTTCTGCTCTCTAGTGATTATTGATTCCTGATCCGTTGCAGTCCCATCTCAGTGCTGAGAAGATGACACTCGTGCTTTCCTTTACCTTGAATGATTCCAATTAGGAGAAGGAGTCATCTCTATTTTTCGAATAAATATTTAAAGTAAAACATTTCAAGGACATAAAACGACAAAGCAAAATGTGTACATGTAAGGAGCCGTCACCTTATTCGTATAAATGATTATTCACAGCATTTCTGATCCTGTTTCAATGTTTTACTATTTTGTTGAACATTAGAAACAGTGGCATACACCTATTAGCTATGTAGCTGATAAGCTTTTATCTAAGTATATATCCATGTGACAAAACCAATCAAGACAAGACACAACATAGTCAGCATATCTCAAATGAGTCTCCTGCTTTTGCAGGGGATCATTTCGAAACTTTAACAAAAACTTAAAGCAAGTAAACCTCTCCTGATTTTTTTTTATCATCTTAAATTTGTTTTATGTAAGTCATACATTATGGCATATATGAAATGTACCCTACTATGTGTGTCACTAAAATTTATTGAGTCTCTTATTGTTAGACATGATTTCCAACATTTCCTAACCACAACCCATCTGTAGTTGTCATTTTTATTCAGGATTTTACATTGAGAAAGAATCGCTAAACTGTAAGAAATGTGAATTCAGATTTTTCAAGAAACTGTAACATTCTCTTCAAAAGAAGAGTTCCGATTTACATACTCTTTAGCAATCTATGAGAGTCCCCCCATTTGTTTTACAACATTTGTAGTGGGAGAGTTAATATTATTGTCAATTCAATTAGGATTAAATGAGAAGGGACCTAGGAATAGCGAAGAAAAGATAATTACACTTCATTCGTGGGCATAGTGCAGTAACACCGAATACCTAAGGCATAAACTTTGACATTATTGTAAACCAAGTTACCTCAATAACAATAATAAACAAGAAACAAAATAGTATATGATACCCTCATTTAAAGCTTTTTTTCACTTACAAACCACTGGAATTTCCTCTTGTATTGCATCTATTTGTAGCATTGTCCATCTTTTCATTGGGTTGTTTCCCCAGTATTATTTTGGATGGCTTTTGGTTTTGGTTGTTTGGTTTATTGTTATTTTAATTTCCTGGATTGTAGTCCTTTGGGCATTATAGGTTACTATCATCCCAAATTTAATGTCTCTTCTGTGTCTTCTAAAATATAGCATTCATTTTCAAAAATTTCTGATTTTAATGCAATTATGTTAATATTTTTTTCCTTTATGGGTTCTACTTTCATATCATTTAATAAATTCTTACTGGATCAGAGGTTAAGATTAAGGAATTTGCCTTATGTGTGGCCAACCTGGTTTGATCCCTGGCACCATATATGGTCCCTGAGGCAACTCCAGGAGTACTTCTGGAGCACAGAATCAGGAGTAAGCACTGAGCACCACAGAGTGTGACCAACCTCCTCCACAGAAAGAAAAAAAAAATAACAGAAATTCTTTCATATGACAAAATTACTAAGAAAACTTCTTGAGCAGGTGAGAGTGTACTTGCATGCCAATGATCCCAGCACCACATGGTTTTCTGAGCACCTCAGCAAACCTCCCCCAAGCAGTGTCCAGAGTTGCACTTAAAGGGGTGGCCCAAACCCCTCACTCCCAATAAATGAGGAAAAGGAAAACTTCCTATATTTTCTTCTAACAGTTTTAAAGGTTGTATTTTTACTTTTAAATAGTTCATCTTCATAGCATTTGTTTTTAATTTATGTTATCTTACATGCAGCCTGTTTTCTTTTTGTTCAGTCATCCCAAAATCATTTAACAAATTAGTCATCTTTACAGACTAATTTGTAATGTCATCCTTTGCCTACAGAGGATCTGCCATTAGGATCTTTATTCATCCAATGGACTGTTTCTCTATCTTTGTGCTAATACTTTGTGCTAATATCCCTAAGCTCTATTTAATACTTAAATAACGCCTTAATTATCATCATAATATTCTCAGTATTCGGTAAGATAAATTCACCTACAGTGTTCCTTAAATTGTTTTGGTTCCTATTGACATTTTGCCATACGATATGAATTTTAAATTACAGATTTTGGCCAAAGCCCTACTGAGTTTTACTTGTAAATACATTGTCTCTGAGAATAATCTCAGGGAGAATTGACATTGTTATAAGATTGCAACATCCCGTTCATTAACAAGCTACAGTCACTTTATAATCAGATCTTTCCTTATGAGCTTTAAAACAGTTTTACAGTTTTCACCATAAAGGTTTTTCTTGCATTTGTGATTAGGTATCTTTTCTTGTAACTTAGATTCTTGTGTTACTGTGTATAAAGTGTATTTTCTATTTCAATGTTATTGGGGTGTTTTCAGCAAATTTGCCGAAATCTGTTATTAGTTATAATGGTTAAATTGATATTTATTTTTATAGTGATAATGTGAATCATTAATAAATGATGAGACTTTTTCACAAATTCTGATTCATAAGTCTTCAATTTCTTTTTCTTATCATATTGCATTTTAAATTCTTCTATATAACATCAGGTAGAACAGTTGAAATTTTAAAAAAAACATGCTCAGCACCTGGATGATAGTAGAGCAGTTTGGGAGGTTACCTTGCACACAGTTTTTCTGGGTTGGATCCTTGGCCACATATGGTCCCTGTGAGCTTCTCTAAGAGTGGTGTCTGAGCAGGGCAAGGAGGAAGCCCTGAGCACTGCTGCACATGTGACCAGAAAACAAAACGAACAAACAGTAGCATGTTGTGTTCTTACTGTGTTAGAAATGTGTTAGAAATATGTTATTTTGATCATAAGAATCAATGTGTTAAGGAAGTTCCAGCATATAGTTGTAGTTTCCTGACCATTTTTAGTAGGTGTAAGTACTTGAATTTTATCTAATGCATTTTCTACATTAGCTTTATGACAGACTTTCCCGTTAACATGATACTGTTACATACATTATTACTTTTTCCTGGCATTAAGCATTTTTTGTATTTCTCAAAAAACACTGTATATTTTTTAAATTTACTGTTTAGTTTAACTTGATGATACTTTATGAGCATGCTTTCATAGTATTTCATTTTCCTCTCCTAAACAGTTAGTGTAGTGCTTTGGTGTCAATGCTAACCTCACATAATAAGTTGTGCAGCACTTTTTTCTGTTTCTTAAGTAATTTTTACACTTGAAAGATTATGTATTTTGAATATTTATTTCAAGATGCCTTTAAAATTATCTGGATATTGTATTTTTGGGGGACCATGGAGGATAGGTAGTGGAGGGCAGATTTTGGATTTTTAGTTCAATCTTTCATGGTTATTGTTTGTCTCCACTGTTCTATTTTCTTAAGAAGTTTTCTTTTAGAAAAATATAGTTGAGTCATCTATACTTTCACATTTCTTTGCACAGTTTTTGATAATGTTCTTATAATTTTTATTTAATCTTTAATTATGCCCCTTCTTATTCCTAATATTATTTATTTGAACCTGTTTTCTTCAGTTACTAGTCGTTAGACATTTTTCTGCTTCATTTACTTTTTTTCAAAAACTGTCTTTTGATTGTGCTTATCTTTTTATTATGCCTTTGTATTCTACATCATTACTTTCTGCTTTTATGAACAGTATTTTCTTCATTCTACTTTTTATAGTCTAGACCACTTTTATTTTTAAATGCCTGCTTTGAATTATTACTCATTTAATTTAAATGCCTTTTATTATTTTTAAAGTGAATTTCAGACTCTAAATTTTCCTCCAACTTTCCATTAGCTGCATATTTCAATATGTACCTTATTTTAAATTTCTGTGTTTTTATATCTCGTAGGTTCACTCACTTCCCCTTCATTCTCCTTCCTCTCTTTCTTTATTACCTTTTGATACGAGTTGTTTTATTTGCTTGTTATCAATCCACCAATTTAAGTTTGAATCACAGTTTACTACCCTAGTAATGTTATTATTATTTTTTAAAAACTTCCTTGGGATTTTTTTTTACATACATCGGTAATGAAATTGTATGTGGTATGAAGAGTGATGTAGGATGAAGTTAATTCATTCTTTTCCTGCAAATTTTGATTTTCTATTATAATAATGATTATTATAATTATTTTTGGTATGAGTTATTACTAATTTTGATGAGAGTTATGAAAGACTAGTCACGCGAGACTAGGTTATTTATTTAAATCGTAAATAAATTCTAGCCATAGTCAGTGATTGCTGAGTATGAAATGAATGGAACTGTTCTGTGTATACTCACACATAGGAAGAAAATGTAACCGAGATCTCTCCGGTCTTCCTCTAGTTCTGTATGACCCACCTGTTCATTTAAATCTTAAGAATTGTAAACTGACTAACTAACATATGAGTTAATGGCTATTATTTATTAATTCTTTCATTAGGCAAACATGTGCTTTGTGAATAAACCTTTTATAATGAGCCAGCTTTTTATAATGAGCCCTTGTGCAAATAAGTTCCATTCAAAACTATATTCAGATTTGCTCCTTTTGCCCTTACCCTTACCCCTACAAAAAATAAGTTCGGCAGCATCCATCATTCATTCTCACTTAGTGACTAATGTCACTGTTATCAGCTGGAAAACACTGTAATTTTTCCATGTGAAATAGTTATTAAATAAGAATAATCGCATCATTTTTAATTGCCTATTGCCATATTCTTCCCAAATAGTTTATGTTGTTTACTCTTTAAACAGAAGCATTTTGAAGTA